CTCGTCATGTCCCTTGGAATCCCAAACAGCAGCAGCTCCAACTTGTCTCCCTTCCACAGTTTCTGCTTCCATCCTCCAAGCTTCTTCACCATCCTCATGATCTCTACGGCAACTGGACCGTGGCCACTTGTTTTTCGTGTTTTTTCAGGAAGGTATACGGAATACTCGGCCTTCCCAATCCGAGTGTCCGGCGGGGGTTGTGGTTCCTTTCAGTTCTTTTGCCGGCTCACCGACGCTATATAGCGCCTCCAACATAGGCTCGTAGTCTAGATCCAACTTCACACCTCCTGACACAAGTACCCCAGTCTTGGCAAGTGGGGGGGTAGGGTGATTGAGGGGGCAACGCGAAATCACCAAATCTCTTACAAAACGGCCAACACACCCCGAAGCTAACAACAGGAAAATATAACACGGTCAGTAATAACAGCGGGAGGAGAAAAAGTCTACTAGCAAAGCGACAACAGTTACAGGCTCGAGCGGTGTCGTTTCTTGCCGTGCGGAAGTGGTTTGTTCGGAGGTAAGGGAGGACCAACTCACCAGGGCGGACGTCGCTTCGTCCAGAAGAAGGATGCGGGGCTTACGAAGCAAGGCCCTGGCCGCGGGCACGGGCGTCGGACCGGTTTGGGGACAATGCACGGATGTTGGTGGGGGCATTGGTTACAACTGGGAAGATTCGGTCGGTGTTGGGGATGTTGAATAGGTTTGTGTGTGTCGTGTGGTATGGTTTAGTCCCCTCTTCGAAGGAGCCAAATATCAGCGAAGCTGCTCGTAGGTCCCAGCTCCGACGCTATCAAGAAGGTTTCCAACAGCATTCAGCATAATCCAACCCCTACCAAATCGACTGCTGCTTTCAGAATATTGCCTAAAGAGCCTGTAGGACGCTAAAGAGCCACCTCATACACGCAGGGACTGGGTCGATCATTGGCCAGGCCAGCCGGGTACAGTTGCACGGTCGATGGTGCCGAGACAAGGCACGACAACATGCAGCACAAATCTGCTACACACCTGGCGATAGCGACGCGCTGCTTCTGCCCACCGCTGAGACGGGTGCCCCTCTCGCCCACCCGTGTGTGGTATCCATCTGTACAGCAGCAGCAGCAGCAGCAGCAGCAGCAGCAGCAGAATAGAACCAAGCCACGAAAGAAGGGTTAACGAACAGAACATTCGAAGAAGAACTCAAGCATGTTCCACCGTGGGGGGAAACGATCAAGCACACCAAACCTGGGAACGAGCGTCCTACTGGCGTACGAATTTGAACAAGACACGCACAGCGAAACGAAAAAAACGAAAAAAAACATGACACAAAGAAAGAACAACGATTTCATTTCAGTTAGGCAGCCAGGCCTTAAACATTCTCTCAAAATCAACACAACCGGGTGCGCTCGCACAGTATCACGAATATTTCAAGGCCCGTCCCGAAGCACAAACGCCTGTTTTTGTTGTCGTACCCACTCACCCGCGAAGTCGGAAATGAAGTCGTGGGCGCAGGCCTGCTTGGCAGCGGCGTAGACCTCTTCTTTCGTGAACTCCCCTTCCTCCAGCCCGTAGGTGATATTGTCGTAGATGCTGTGGATTCATTCGACAGGTGGCGCGCGGCAAAAAAGGGGCAAAGACGGAGCACCGTGAACAAAAAGACGAACAATTGAGCGACTATTGAGAACGAATGAGGGGGCACACGCAAATACGACGGCAACACAAGGCAAACGACCTTCACAAAACTGCGGCAGCGATGGCACCCGGTCACGTGACAACATAACTTATGACCAACAAGACAGTCTCGATTTGAGAACCAAAAACAAACATCTGGACGGCGAACTAGCCTCCTTTCATAGACCACGTGGCAGCAAGGTCCCAAGTTTCGAGGTGGCCTTAGTCCGCTACCGGGGGCAGGCAGCTTCTCCATTTGGTAAATTTCGTATTTGTGGCAAAGATAGAGGGCCCAGAAAAAAAGACTGCGCAAGGTGGCGCCACGCCAGCAAGTGGCATGGGCAAAAACCTCCGGGTATCCGTCGGTGGTATCCGGAGTGCCCATGGCTCTCGGAACGCTTTTAAGGATCGTTTTTTTCCTACACGTTGCATGCGTCCGCATGGATCCTGCGCGACCAACGTACCACCTTTCATCCACACCGACTCAACGGAAAAACGTGGTACGAACAACAACCAAGAAGAAGAGACCAGCACCTCGTGGCGAAGAGCTGAGTGTCCTGTGCCACGATCGCGGTCTTCCGGTGCAGCTCCCGGAGGTTGAGGTCGGTCAGCGGTACTCCGTCCACAAGAATCTGCCCCGCCTATGTAAAAAAAAAAATATATATATATATATATATTCACCAAAATATAGAGGAACCGAGAATGATACTGATCAACGCAAGTCGGGGTCGGGGAGGGTGTCCACGAACGAACGCCTTGCGTTCGTAACGAGACGACAGGGTTACTGCTGTTTGGATTTCTTGTACGTACGTACGTCTCCGTGAAATGTCCTCTGCGGAACCCCCGGAAGAAGAAAATAAAGCTCACACGGTCAAAAGCTAGACAGAGTGACAACGTGGCGGAGGCGGACAAAGCCCACAAGGCCGGCTAGTGATAACGTGGCGGAGATAGACAAAAAGCCCGCACGGCCAATCGCCAGTGGCGGCGATGCGCAAAGGCCAACAAGGACGACAAACTGACGATGTGGCAGAGATACGCATGCGCGTGAAGGCTGGCCTGGGCTCACCCGCGGGTCGTAGAAACGGAGCAGGAGGTGCACGAGGGTGGTTTTGCCGCTCCCGGACCGCCCCACCAGTGCACAAGTGCTTCCCGCAGGAATGTGCAAGTCCACGCCCTTGAGCACCTGGACGTGCACGTTCATGCCGGCACCATTGGAGAGATCAGCAGGGGAACGACAGCAGCAGCAGCAGAAAGGAAAGCGCCAGAAACAACAAACTCGCAAGCAGGAGCAGCAACAGCGGCCGCAGTCGGACGTTGTGGTACAGAATCACCAAACTTGTGGGGCCAAGACACAAGACACACCCCAACCCGTGTTGTTTTTTTGCCAGGAGAGGTATCCGTTTGACACTGACAGCCTCGTTTCTGAGTCTTCTTTTCCTGCTTCCCACTCCTCGCGCACCTTGTTGTCTGGGCGCATCTGGTACGTGAATTCCACCCCCTTGATCGCGATCTCCCCTCTGAACCTCAGGTCGTCGAGGGGCAGGCCGCTGTCGATGTCGATGTCCGGCAGGGAGTCCATGAGGCTGAACACGCGCTGCGCCGCGCCCGCCGCCCTCGTGAGGCTGTGTCAGTGTTCAATGGAGTTCGAGACGAGAGCGTACGCTTGCGGAAGTCAGCGTTGGGTTTGTTGCGTTCGCGGGGTGTTTGCGGTAGTGACTTGTTCTTGTTGTGATCTTTGTGTGTTGAAGGGTCGATGGTCAGGGGGGTTGAGAAGGAAGAGGCGTGTCGCGGCAAAATTGGGCCAACGAAGAGTGCGCGCAATGGAAGGGGGTGACGCTTGGGCAGATATTTGGAGGGGGGTGGGGTGGGCCAGGCTGCCGCGAGACGATGTTCCAAGTGTTGTCTGAGCCAGTTGGAAGTAAAAACAACACAAAGTTGAATATACAGCAGTAGAAACGGAAACAGCAGCAGCAGCAGCAGCAGCAGCAGCAGCAGCAAAAAGCAGCCGGAGCGGTTACGGCAGGGCAGGGTAGACAGTCCCGTACCTGCTGATCACTCCAAGAAGGGCTTGCCAGGAGTTGTTGATCATGTTCCAGTACCTGTCATGCCGGGGGAAAGCAGCAAAATGGGTCACGGTTACAATGACAAATGCAAAATTTGGGGGTTGAGTAGTTGAGGGATACTCCCTTCATGGAACAACTGGTGCTGAGTCCCGAGGTGCTGGTAGAAACCAGAACACGAGGTGTACGGCCGTGCACATGTACTTGTACCTTGAATCAAGGAAGCTTGTGCTTACGCTTGCTCTAGGATGTCTTTCAGTAAACATCTTAGGGGTTGAGGAGCCACCTGGTATGCTTATGCAAATGCCATTGCTGCAGAGGAACTGCGTCAAAGGGCCTACTGACACTCCCACTACTGTGAGTTGAACACGGGATCCACCCAAAAAATGTGCGGACAATACGTCCTACCGGGAACTCGTTGTACAAACAAGCAGCTGCACACCTGGCCGAGATACGAGCTTTGCCAAAAGGATAAGAGTTCGGCTCACAGCGGTGTCCAAAACGTCGCGAGCTTCGCACGAAACACCAAGACTTTCCACATTTGGTGGTGTCCGACTCCGTGCAAAAAAGCAGAATCAATACTCCACAACAGATGCGACAGAAGGATCCATACTACCACTACCGCTACTATACCCCCAGCACCACCAGGCGAAACTATTTTGCGGCTCACAGGACATGAGTTCGCTTGCTGGCGTCTCGTGTGCCCCACAATAACCCCACCCAAAGCCTCGAAACCAGCACGACCGTCACGATAATCGCAAATGACACCACCCACCCACCCACCCACCCACACCGCCGCAACAACAATAAATTCTGCCCAATCAAAAGTTTGGCCATCGGTGATCCGTCCTGTGAGAACAATGCTCCGTCCTCTCGGCCACGCGTGGTCAATGGCCTAACAGCCAAACGCGCTAACGCAAAACACGAGTACCCCGACCCCCAGCACAGGCAGCGTCAACCACGACCACGAAGCCATCAAGACTCCAACCCCGCCGCCAACACAAGGCCGGCCGGCCCACCACCTACACGCACGGCCTCGAGAGGAGGCGGCCACTCACAGCTGGTAGGTGATTAGCCGTCCCGCCGTCATCCTGCGGTCGTCCTCCATCGCCAGGCTGCCCCCGTACCACAGGATCAGCGCCCCTGCCCCCAAGTCGAGGTAGCTGGACATGGCGTTCGTGCCGGCGGAGCCGAAGGAGTCCTTGACTCCCTTGTCCAAGGCAACTTGCGTCGCCGTGTCGTACTTGGCCATTTCTTGCGCGACCAAATTGTTTTTCGAGAGATTTATGTCGCAGCAGCAAAAAAATGGTGACGTTTCGGACACGCGGTCGGTTGGGGGGTCGGTTGGGGGGTCGGTTGGGAGGGGATTCACGCACTTGCTGCGCCCGATATATGTGGCGCCCGATGCATGTGGCGTAGTTGTTGTCGATACATAAAATTACGACAGATACGCTGGCACCTTATTGAGCAAGCGAGGGTTAAGGCCGCATGTCATTCGTTCGCTGCACCACGTTGAGTAGTAACGCGCGGAAAAACAGCTCACGGCAATAGAGCCCAGCAGTGACAGCAGCAGCAGCAGCAGCAGCCCACGTGGTTCAACGACGATGGATACAGTACCGTGGGGGGCCCTCCATAGTGCCCGTGTTTTCTGCTCGCACACACCAAAATACGAAATACAAAGTCGTTCTGTACTCTGAATAGTACCGGTGCCCGGCGCAGTGCCGGGTACTCCCGGGACACCCGGCAATATAGAGGGCCCCCCACTGTATATGGATTCTCAATATCGTAAGCCGGCACTGTAACCAGCTTCGGAACCTACCCACTTGTATCACTACGGTGTCTCTCGTACCTTGTAATTCCGTGCTCATGGCCTTGACAGTGCGGACGTTGCTGAGGGCCTCGGTCGCGTGGCCGTTAGCTTCGCCGTATGCCACGTAGATCTCTACGTTCAACTGCTGGCTCCACTTGGCGTATCTCTGTGTAGTGGTGAGTCGCGCGAGGTAACAACGATCATGGATACGTGTGAGAGCAACGCTGGAGAAGTAGAGCAGGAACAGGTATATGGTGATTTTATTTGCTGTTGTCGGGATCGTTGTGCCGCCCGGAGCCGAACAGCACCTTTCTAGTATACTTTGGAGACGACCAAACGTCCTCGGTAGCGCGGTCGGCGAAATCCTAAAAATTGTTCCGTGTCCCGGTCGCGCAGGAACGCGGGGGTCCGTTCGTCGAAGAGGCCACGGTACGCAGAATCACGAGTGCACCCCACCCCGTCAAGGGTAACCCTCCTCTCGCTGCCACACCCAAAACCAGCAACAGCAATAACAACAATAACAACAACAACAACGAAAACAGCAGCAGCAACAATAACAGTAACAACAACAACAACAACAACAACAACAACAACAGCAACAACAACAACAACAACAACCAACAACCGTTGTGTCTGCATATCGTTGTACCCGCGTCGTTGCCAACCTGGTCAGGTCGACAGGGTCACCTGGGTGATGTGGTAGATGGGTCCCACGGTGGTGAAGGCCAGCATGCTGAGGCGCCAGCTCGTGACGAAGCACATGACCATACCGCCCGCCAGCAAGAGGATGTTGCTGAACAGCGTGCCGAGCATATAGGTGCAGGGCGATACCTTCCATTCGTCGGGGAAAGCGAAAGAAACATGGAAAACATCAAGACACGAAATGGCGCGCGCAAAGGTTGGGAAACAAATGCATGCAGCAACTTTCGAGAGGCAAGCTCCAGTCCAGCAATTAGCCCAGCTCAGGGGGGCTCACGAGATGCAAGGCTGGAAGCACTGCCCCAAACCGGACTAAGGACCATATCGAGAAGAAGTCGGGAGGGAGGGGGGGGGGGGGGGGG